CACACACACACACACACACACACACACACACACACACACACACACACTGGACTTTCCAAAGCACTGTTTGTGGTGGTCCAGGTAGTGTGTTGATGGTGGCCTTCCAAAAAAGATTATGTTCACATCCTGGAACTGTGAGAGTGGAGACTTACTTGGAAATGGGCCCTTGCAGATGTACCCCAATGAATCATCTTGGGATGAGATCATCCTGGATCATTCAAGTGGTTCCTAAATCCATGACAAGTGTCCTTATGAAAGACAGAAGAGAAGACAGAGAAGAAGGAGGTGATGTGACCATGAAACAAGGATGGAAGTGATACAGTCACAGCTTGAGGAACAGCTGGGGCCAACAGAAACAGAAATTTCCCCTGAGCCTGTGGAAGACTACACCAGATTTTGGACTTCTGCCTTACAGGACTGTGAAAGAAAAAAAAAAATCTGCTTTTAGTTTCCTGTTGGGGCAATTTGTGTCAGCAGCCACAGGAATCTAACACAGTCCATCTAAATCAATTAATTGGAGGACTTGTTAATAAAGGTGGGGATTTCAGGGCCCATTCCCAGATAGTTTGGTGCCTGGCTCAGATTTCAGCTGTCATCCCTAGTAATATACTGAAAGAGAGTGTGACATACCCTACCCTCTTCCCTAAATGGTGCCTCTGTTTGTCCCCTGACTGGCAGGACTGGTAATTTTATGATCTTGTGCTATGGTTTAGATGTGCCTCCTGAAAAGTCATATGTTGAAAACTTCATCCCAACTCTACATATTAATGGTATTTGGAGGTGGGGTCTTTAGGAAGTAATTAGGATTAAATGAGGTCATAAGGGTGGGGCCCCCATGATAACAATGGTGGTTTTTTAAGAAAAGGAAGAAAGATCCACACTAGCACACTTTGTCTCATGATATGATGCTATACATTTTAGATCTAAAATGTCCCCTAAAAGCTCATGTGTTCAGAAGTGGGGCTCTGAGAAGGTGATTGAATCATGGAGTGTTATACTCATTAATCCACTGATGAGTTTATAGCTGAATGTGCTGTTAGGAGGGGAACCTGGTTAGAGGAAGTGAGTCAGGGTTGTAA